GCACCTGTGCCACCCGTGGAAAAAGTTAGTGTAGCACCCTGGATGCTGTTAAAAAGTGATTTAATTCAAATGGATTTACCCCAACGCCTGCCAATGAGTTGGCAAGACAGCACAAACAATTCTGGGACCATGCTATAGATCTGCAAGTTAAACTCGTTGCCAGGAATCCAATAGAAGATGATTTATTTTTTGTGTCCACTAACTCATGTGGGATATTGTACCTTTTCAAGCCCTTCGTGGACAGCGATCATGTGGTCCACCAGTATTTCCTTCCACGGGAGTACTCTGTCATTCTACCTGGGATCGCAGCATTGATACTGCTGCTCTGTGTAGGTGAGTTCTAGAATGCTACATTGGATGGGTTCTAATCTAGTGTTTTGCTCCCTTCCCTGTTCCCTACCCTCAGCCTGTACATCTGAAAGGACTGGATAGACATAGGATATAAGGCATTCTGCTTGTTCACAAGGACCTCCCTGAGCTAGGTGCAGCTGAGATTACTATCTGGTGGTCTACAAATCACAGAACATCCTAACTGGGCATGAACAGATCTATATGCGATACACCCAAATTGGTGAATATGTGTGGCACCTACAGTAGTGGCCAAATATATTGGTAGCCTTGCACCTTTCTTAAATAATTTCCCATTTCTTCTAAAATAAGTTGAACTTGGAAAAAAAACATTGTCTCCACACGTTGTTATTGGATTGTCACATGGCAGAACAATTTTTTGTGGGGGAAACTTAAGTTTACAATGTTTAATTAAGAAAATTTAAACAAATGGCATGGACAACATTTTTGGCACCCAGGAGCTAATATTTGGTTAAACATCCTTTTGCGAAGATAACAACAACAAAAAAAAACGGTTTTTGAAGGGATCCAGATCTGGACTCATCGCTGGCCACTCCAGAACATTTTTTAATGCTTTATTTGGTCATCGGTAAACATAGCGCTGATGTATTGCCAAAGAGCTCTAATTTTGTTTCATTGGTCTACAGAACATTTTCCCAGGATTTAGGCATGTTTAGATGGGGTTTTGCAAAGTTCAATGGGGCTTTCTTATCTCTTTCAGCAGTGGAGTCTTCCTATGTTTACCAATGACCAAATTAAGCGTTCAAAGAAAAGAACACCCTCCCTACAATCAAATATGGGGGAGGTTCGCTAATGCTTTGAATGCTTTGCTTTGATGCCACTAGTACTGGGGGCATTAAACGTGTGTAAGACATAATGAAATCAGCACATTATCAAGGTGTTTTGGAGTGCATTGTTCAACCCATTGTCCAAAAACTGGGTCTCTGTTGAAGGTTGTGGGTCTTCCAGCAGGACAACAACCCAAACACAAATCAAAAAGCCCCCAGGAATGGTTCAAGAATAAACACTGGACTGTCCTGGAGTGGGCAGCAACGAGTCCAGATCTGAATCCCATCGAAAACCTATAATTTTTTATATGCCATTTGTTTAAATGTTCTTAATAAACACCCCCCCCCCCAAAAAAAAATAACATTGGTTCTGCAATGTTGACAATACAACAAATGTGTGGAGACCAAACTTTATTTCCAATTTCAATGTATTTTAGAAGAAATGGGGAATTAATTAAAAGTGCAAGGGTGCCAATATAAGTGCAAGGGTGCCACCACTGTAGTTCAGTCTGGCCTTGGTGAGAACTTATTATTCTCCTTTTAAAGAGAGTAACCTCAGACATTCTCTCTCCTCTCCTCAGGTACCTTCATTGGAGTGGTCACCTGGAAGAACCGCAGGCCTAAGGTGGACTAAGAGGGATGGTGTCACAGAGACACTATTAGTTATACAACAGTAGCTTCACTAGAACCTCCCTGGTTCCAGCTTCTTTCCAACATTCCATCGGGAGAAACCAAAAATAAAGTCTTGACTGCTTCTCTTTGACAGCTGATGAAAACATCTAATGACTGAAAGACATAAGACAAGACGAAGAGCTGCTGCCACCACATTCTATCCCTTCTCCTTATTCAGACCCACAACCTTGCTGTTGGCAACACATGGCAGGGATTGACGTTAAAGTCTGAAAGTCACTTGCCCATCGGGCAAGTCAGAAGTATTTTTGGGATTGCCATAAGATTATGATAATTTCCCTGAAAATGTAAATTAGTTATTTACACACACAAGTGCCATATATTGCCTGCCTTTCACCTACACATAGGGAAGGAATCAGAAAGATCAGTACTGGAATTATTTGTATTTTGGTTGTTATCAATAAAAACATTCTCAGAGCAGGCTCAACTTGCCCGACTGCCATAAATGCCATAAATTGTCTGTCTTTTGCGTAAACAATGGGAACGAACCAGAAAGATCAGCTTTAGGCTACTGGAATTCTTTGCAGTTTGATTGTTTTCTATATGTATTTATTTTTTATCACTTGCCCAATGGGGCAAACTCAGAGCAGGCCGAATTTGTGAGACTGCTCAGTTCACTTGCCCCAGGCAATAGGGCAGCCCTTAATGTCAATCCCTGCATGGCTGCAGATGCTATATTTGTCCGTAAGGGGCATTGTCACTTTGCCAGGGATGAAATCAATGCGTTGGTATTCACTTTCACTGTATGTGGTCAGCCCTAGATAAAATCTGGCTTCATAATGTTTCACTGTGGCATCCCTTTTCACCACATTTTGGATGTCTTTTCAGGCACTGTTTTAAGACTTCAAGATTTATTTTGAGTTCTTATGTTGCTAAGAATGACCAATATCAATTGTTTAATTAGTAACTGTAGTCTACTCAGACTGAAAGGGCCCAATTGATATCCAAGCATGTTTATTATGTCCACACAAGCACAAATTAGGGAATCTGTCATGCTTTGAAATACCATTAAATGCTTGGCTAGTTCAAGTACAAGAAAACTCAGCATCTGATATGATAGCCCATTTTCTAAAGTCTGTTGAGCAAAACAAGATCTACAAATGTGGATGGTGTATAGGCTAAAGGTCCTTTGTGTTCACGAAATAAAAAAATTATATTGATAATTCTGGCACAATTTATTCAGGATTTCAATGTTTAGAATGTGGTGTGTAATCAAAGTGAATTGACTCAAATAATCATTTTAAATTGTGTAGTCTATACATTGAATATTCAGGTCATATCATTGATCATATCAAACGATTCCTCATCAAATTGGTCCTATATGGCGTTTTAATATAATCTGTGTGCCCGAGTTTTTCCAGCTAACAAACATGAGGTAATGCTTTGTGGAACGAGATTTCTGGTGCAGTTTTTTTGGGGTTCCGAGCAGTGTCAGTATCGCTACATCCCTGCTTGCGCGCATTCATTGAAAGAACGGATTGCGATGTCAATCGTGGATAGGAGGAATGCGCTGATCTCGGAAACCATAGAGCGGACACGGGAGGACCTAAATTAGCGGCATCGATGAACCAAACTGAGGCAAGAATCTTCCTATTCTGGAATATCTATTACTAATGTTAACGCAAATATTATTTAAATATTGCTTGTTTTGTTACGATATGTTTTGGACCATATGGACGTAGCCTACTGTAGTTTTTTTATTCATGCTAAATTTACCCGTTGGTATCTATTCCATGCGCGCAATGGTAATGACAGGCACCGGATAGACGACAGAATGATGTATCCGAATTGTGTGTGAAAAGTTTAATTTAGGCAGCAAAGAATACCCCCATATTGAAACCATCCGTCCAACATTATCAGAATTGTTGGCTGTTCCACCGTTATGCGCATGCAATAACCTTTTTTAGCCTATTGTTTTAATGTATGGCCAGTCCTATAATAGCCCATATATTATTGTATACCTTACATGTATAGGTTATTTCTATATGGCAAAAGGTGTAGGCCTACTTTATTATGCTGGTATAGCCTACTGCTGTGGGTGTGGTGTCAAGTCAGTTCCACTGGTCAGTGGGTCAATATAGAGCAGTGCAGATACTCAAATTGTAGGGAGTCCTCATGAAAAGATTCTGACATGTTGATAAAAACAACCTATTTTCTTCCCTATGTTTTATCAATGGTTTAGCATTGATTCATCATGATTAACATCATAAAACTACTAATTAAATGGTTATTTTGCTAATAGATGCTTGAAGCTGGGTACTCTCCAAAACAAGGACCTCATTAGTTACAGCCACTGTGCTTGAACATATAAAGTGCCCCTAGGGCTTGCAGGGGCGCATTGAGAGCAACAGCTACATCTAGGCCCTAGGGACTTGAACAGACCTGTAGCTCTCCTGCTTGTTGTCAAGGAGACAGCTGGTTGATCCATGATCACTGGAGGTTCATATTTACATACCCCATGTGGGGGAAGGAGGGGATACACTAGCAGGGGTGGACTGGCAATCTGGTTCATTTGTAGCCCAGCGGGCATGCCTAACTCAGGTTTTTTGCACAAAATGATAATTATTTGGCTAATAATGGGGGCGTCAAGGAAAAAATTGCCTGGTGTAGGGGCCTCTAGGAAAAATATGGACCGGTGTGGGAGCCTCAAGGGAAAAAAGGGGCCGGTGTGTTAGAAATGCCAGGGCTGATTTTGGTCCCAGTCCGCCCCTGTACACTAGCCTATATTCACAATCCTTAGTTACCCCCCACTCGCTTGTTCCAAACGTACTGTAGGAAAGGCTGCTGTGGTCAAATGGATGTGGCCTGTTCGATTTCACTGTCAGTCAATATCAGGCCAATAAAAGCTCTCCATTCTCTGAGGCCCATAGAGCCATTGCACTTTTGTTGCCGTGGTCACTTTCTGCATGCCACAGGCAGCCCAGGTCTCTCTAGGACACGCCAGTTACTGTCAACCTCTGGTTTGCCCAGCAATGAGTTACCACGCATGTTAATCGATAGGAAGACCAACCTGTGTGGTCTTACCTGTGTAGTTGTCTTTTCTTTGTAAATGGCATTACATTTTAATGGAGAAAAACAGCCCTATTAGTGATGTGGTATTTTGTAGAGATGGTTGCAAATGCTGGTGCTTGAGCACTCATTCTGGTGTGTGTGTGTGTGTCATCCCCACCCCAGATGGAGATGTCTGGGGGTCCGGCGGGGGGGACGCGGAGGACTGGGACAGTGAAGAGGACGATGTGGGGGGGCCTGAGGCAGCAATGGAAGCTACTAGGTCTGTTTGAGATTGACCAGCAGCACGAGTTCTACAGCCTCACCTCTATGATGAAGGAAGGCCTCTCTGCAGCCGTGCAGACCACCATCGACAACCCGCCACCGGTGAGCTCCAACCACGGGTCACATTAAGGTGTAGTGCAAGTATTCTAAGTACATTTTACTAAGCATATTTGCACCACGTTAAAAGTCAGACCTGTTTTTTCAGTAAGGGATAAAACACTCAAAACAAAGGTAGAACACGAGACTGTCTTCATTTACACTTATTTTTAACCCTCTGTGTTTAATGCCCTTTGTACAGGTACTGTACAAACGTCGCACCCAGTGCAAACACTTGGTAGATTAAGATGTTTCACAAGGCCCACAAGTGATAGACAGTTTGAACTGGGCATCTTGTTGTCAGTGTGTATAATCATGTACAGTGGTCTGAAACTAGTCAAAAACACATTTTAGATGGACCAAACAAACAAAAAATATACATACATACACCTATCATATGCCATTGCCAACATTTTCCTGTTTGGCTATAAACTGGATTCATTTGGACTCACTCCACCTCCATCACCCATCGAGTTCCCCCAGAGGACCATGAGAAGGTCAACAGGAGTGGGGATGGAACATGAACAAAAGGAGCTAATCACAGAGCCATGTTCCATCCACCTGTATTACTCATGGATAAAGGCCCCTGACAGAAGAACCCTGGGTCATGTTCATTAGGCAGCAAACAGAAGAAATGGACTGAAACAGGGAGTGACTACCTGGACTTTTCTAATAAGAAATGCTCAAACTGTTATGGTTCTCATAGTTTGTTTGCAGCTTGTTTTTATTTTTATTTATTTTTATTGTTAGCTTACTACTGGCTACAATGTCATGTTCTCTGCAACAATCGTTTTGTTTAAGACCTATGCCCAATTTAGACTTTACATAATTGAGGCGTCTTTCGATTCCAAACTGAAAACCTGCTCCATACTATTTGCTCTGATGACTTGCCCTTGCGGATCTGAGAAGGCATTGAGGCGTTACCATATTGCTTACTCCTATCCGGTGCCCTCAGATCCACAAAAGTCATCAGCACCAAGGGCAGATGGAAAGTTGGTAAGTATCCGGTTTGGAACAGAGTATTTGGCTAAGCTAGGGGAGGTGGCTATTAGTAGCTTGTGCTTTGTTTAGCTGACAAACACCGTTGTTGTCCCTACAGAGGAGAAGGGTGACAAAACAGGATTATATTAACAATCTGGTCTCAGAGTATTTCGTATTATTCTGTACGTAAATCCGAGACACTCCATTTAGTATGATATGTTACGTTTCGTATGGTATGTATTAATTTGTGGATGTCCATCACCCATTTGGTATCATATGTTACAAATTACAATTTGTATTATATGTTACGAATTTGCAAAACATACAATATGCTATGAATTTGCGAAACATGTTATATGTTACGAATTTGCAAAACATATGATAATGTTATGAATTCTAGATAGGTGGCTAGTGTTAGCTAGGCTAGGGGTTAGGGTTAAGTTTAAGTTTAGGAGTTAGGTTAAAGGGTTAAGGTTAGGGGAAGGGTTAGCTAAAAAGGTTAAGATTAGGGGAAGGGTTAGCTAACATGCTAAGTAGTTGCAAAGTACCTAAAAAGTAGTATGTAGTTGAAAAGTTGCTAATTAGCTAAAATGCTAAAGTTATCTGTGATGAGATTCGACCTCTCAATCTCTGGCTTAAGCAGCCATCTTATGTAACCATACCAAATGTAACATATCATACTAAATTGAGTGTCTCGGATTTACATACAGAATAATATGAAATGCTCTGAGACCAAGCTGATATTAGAGCCAAGTGGGACTTTGAGTTGGGTGTAATCATGAGATCTAATTTGCAGCAACCATTTTACATTGGCGTTTGGTTGCTGTGCTGGATCCTATGGTGCTGAATAAGAGTTTTTTTTTTATTCTCTCTCTCTCTCTCTCTCTCTCTCTCACACACACACTCACACACACACACACACACACACACACACACACACACACACACACACACACACACACACACACACACACACACACACATTCAAATGGAGCCTGCTGACTCAGCAGTGTGATACATGAATGTCCAGTCTGTTGTCTCTTACTCACGTATTCTCTTACACACACACCGTGTTGATCCATGCTACATGTTAGCTTATTTTGTGTCGCCATGTTTAGATTTCATGAAAAGTTGAAATCTAAACATGTTCAACAGCAAAGGTATCTGTAATTTTCTGTTGTTGGTGGACTGTCGTTGCTGTCAATTGTATTTTTTTCATCTTTAAAAATGTCTCTGTGTAGAACATCCACAGAATGTGAGTAGTGAATAGAACATTTAAAATAGCGAAAACATAAAACAAATGCCTTCTTTTAACCTAAAGAACGCAAAATGTTAGATATATCTGACCCAGGGGCGGCCTGTTCAATAGGGCGATATGGGCGACGCACTGCCAAACGGGAAAAGGAAGGGATTTTTTTTCTAATCAATTATATCACGGCAACAGTAGTTATCAGTGTTGTAATCTATACGTCTGATCTGCCACAGTGCCACACTGCCACTAAATGTCGAATCAGGCTAAAGTCGTGCTTCAAATGGCTCCCCCCCCTTTTGGGGCGATTTCAGTCAGGTTGAAAATCGCCCAGAAGTCTCTCATAGCCTCTAATGTAAAATCTATTTTTTTCAAATTTCAGAGCCTTCAATACAATCTCTATGGGTGTCTGAGGGCTTGCACTTACGCGCTTTCGTCATACGTAACGTAACGTAACCATGAACGTAACTGAGAAAAGAGCGGATTGTGTCTTTGAAAGAAGTTCCTTTTTGTCGGCGAACAAATGAAGATAAATTGGCAACGAAACAATTAGGACCTCCCAGACCAAATTTAATAATTCAACAGGTTTCTACTAAAGGCGGAAAGTCCTACACCCGAGGATTTTCCAAAAATTGGTACGAACGGAAAAATAACATTGCCACTCAACTTGATGAGGGATACAGGCTAGCTGTCCGCCGCCACAACGATGAGGTTAGTGTTGATAATCACAAGTTTACTGGAGAACTGAGACCAAGTAGAGACTTTGGACAGGGTGGATATGGTATAATAAAGGCAGTTTATTCAGAGGTAAAGATATCTGGAATCGCGTGCACGGACCCGTTCGTCAAACTCTTAGGGAGCTATAAATTAAGCCCCATTACTTACCATATCAGATAAGAGAAATTGCTGCAGCTACATATATTTTACATCCTGGCCCTACATAGTTCACTATTTGCATCACTTACCAAAATATTACATGTGGTCATATATGCTTGGAAAGTGGAGATGCCATAGAACGTCAAAAAAGTAAACATTGCTGGAGACACATTGCCGTTTTGGAGAAGACATCGCGTTTGCTAGCGAAGAGATTTGTTGTGGCAAATGAACTTGGGCTGGGAATTGCCAGGAACCTCACGATAAGATATATGCATCAGCATTGCGAGTCTCATGATTCTATACGTATTGCGATTCGATACTGTGATTTTATTGCGCACCATATGTCTGTTGCAGAGGGATCAGAAAGCCATGAGAACGAGTTTTGATCAGTCATGGAAATAAAAGTGCTGAAAACAAATTGGCTCCCAATGTGAAAAGATTGAGAACAAGCTATGAAGGAACAATAATGGTGTTTTGGTGCAGGTACAGCCAACTAGCGCTAAAATATTGCGATATTGTCAATACAGTATATCGTAAAGTATCACTATGTAACTCGATTTCTTTCACCCCAATCCCTCAAATTAACGGTAAATAACTGAATTGTTTGCCCCACATTTAGCTAAGATGATTAGCTAGCCAGCTAAAATGTTTTATTTAGTTAGCAGTCGCATCTACAATAGTTTACTGTCAATAACATGTCTCCAAAAATGACGTGGTGTCTCCAATTGTGTTGACATTTTACAATTGCGATGCGCATCCATGAGTATCCACTTTCTGTAGCTCAGCTGGTAGAGCACGGCGCTTGTAATGCCAAGGTAGTGGGTTCGATCCCCGGGACCACCCATACACAAAAATGTATGCACGCATGACTGTAAGTCGCTTTGGATAAAAGCGTCTGCTAAATGGCATATTATTATTATTATTATTATTATCTGAAGAGAGCCCCGAAACATTGTGTGCTGACATTTTATGCAATAAATGAAGTAGGTTGAATCTAGTAGTTCTGATCTTCTGATTGGTCCTGATGAGTTGGGCGAGGTCCCCTCCAGGCTACTGTCACTGTTGCATTGGCTCTGAGTCGGGTTCTCTGTCTTCAAATGTTCAGCCTAAGAGAGGGGATTTTTGTGTGTGTGTGTGTGTGTGTGTGTGTTTAACAGTGATGATGATGTGTGTGTGTGTGTGTGTGTGTGTGTGTGTGTGTGTGTGTGTGTTTAACAGTGATGATGTGTGTGTGTGTGTGTGTGTTTGTGTGTGTGTGTGTGTGTGTCCTCAGAGCAAGAACTCGTGAGTTGGAAGAACTGAGAGGCCTATGGCGTGGGTGTTGTCCTTGGCCACCTGCTGACAAGGCTGACAAGATAGGACCCTTTTGTCCATTGTTATTGGATAGGAACAGAACTTATAACCAGCTCCTGACCTAAATAGATCTTAGCACAACATTTTACTCAACATATCATATTCCATATTCACTATAACAAATATATTTACTACGACATTAGCAAGAACCGCCACATCCTCAGCCGGCTAATCCAGTGTGTGAAGTTTTGCGGCGTGTTTGAGTTAGCTTTGCGAGGCAAAGATGAAACTGAGGGCTCCACCAACCCTGGTAAGCCAACACTTTTGAGATCAGTCAATAAATGCTTCTGGTATTGACTTATATGCTGCCCCTGTCTTCATGTTGTTGCTGGACATATCTTTTTTTAAATGTGTGTAGGTCACCTAAATCATCAGAAAAATTGCCCCCCCTGAGAATTTTTTCAGGAGCCGCCACTGATCTGACCCACAGTGATTGTAGACCACTTGGAAATGTTTCTTGCTTTCCTATCCACAAATTATTCTCAATATTTTACAGGCAGCCATTATTCAGTTTCTTCTTTTATCATAGGATGAATTGTCGGAAGATGATTACAGATTGGAAGTCACTCAAATACATAAGGTATGTTGATTTCCAAAAATGTGTAATTCAGTTGTTCTCTCTCTCTATCTCTCTCTCTCTCTATACAGTGAGGGAAAAAAGTTTTTGATCCCCTGCTGATTTTGTACGTTTGCCCACTGACAAAGACATGATCAGTCTATAATTTTAATGGTAGGTTTATTTGAACAGCGAGAGACAGAATAACAACAACAAAAATCCAGAAAAACGTGTGTAAAAAATGTTATAAATTGATTTGCATTTTAATGAGGGAAATAAGTATTTGACCCCTCTGCAAAACATGACTTAGTACTTGGTGGCAAAACCCTTGTTGGTAATCACAGAGGTCAGACGTTTCTTGTAGTTGGCCACCAGGTTTGCACACATCTCAGGAGGGATTTTGTCCCACTCCTCTTTGCAGATCTTCTCCAAGTCATTAAGGTTTCAAGGCTGACGTTTGGCAACTCGAACCTTCAGCTTCCTCCACAGATTTTCTATGGGATTAAGGTCTGGAGATTGGCTAGGCCACTCCAGGACATTGATGTGCTTCTTCTTGAGCCACTCCTTTGTTGCCTTGGCTGTGTGTTTTGGGTCATTGTCATGCTGGAATACCCATCCACGACCCATTTTCAATGCCCTGGCTGAGGGAAGGAGGTTCTCACCCAAGATTTGACGGTACATGGCCCCGTCCATCGTCCCTTTGATGCGGTGAAGTTGTCCTGTCCCCTTAGCAGAAAAACACCCCCAAAGCATAATGTTTCCACCTCCATGTTTGACGGTGGGGATGGTGTTCTTGGGGTCATAGGCAGCATTCCTCCTCCTCCAAACACAGCGAGTTGAGTTGATGCCAAAGAGCTCGATTTTGGTCTCATCTGACCACAACACTTTCACCCAGTTCTCCTCTGAATCATTCAGATGTTCATTGGCAAACTTCAGACGGGCCTGTATATGTACTTTCTTGAGCAGGGGGACCTTGTGGGCGCTGCAGGATTTCAGTCCTTCACGGCGTAGTGTGTTACCAATTGTTTTCTTGGTGACTATGGTCCCAGCTGCCTTGAGATCATTGACAAGATCCTCCCGTGTAGTTCTGGGCTGATTCCTCACCGTTCTCATGATCATTGCAACTCCGCGAGGTGAGATTTTGCATGGAGCCCCAGGCCGAGGGAGATTGACAGTTATTTTGTGTTTCTTCCTTTTGCGAATAATCGCACCAACTGTTGTCACCTTCTCACCAAGCTGCTCGGCGATGGTCTTGTAGCCCATTCCAGCCTTGTGTAGGTCTACAATCTTGTCCCTGACATCCTTGGAGAGCTCTTTGGTCTTGGCCATGGTGGAGAGTTTGGAATCTGATTGATTGCTTCTGTGGACAGGTGTCTTTTATACAGGTAACAAGCTGAGATTAGGAGCACTCCCTTTAAGAGTGTGCTCCTAATCTCAGCTCGTTACCTGTATAAACGACACCTGGGAGCCAGAAATCGTTCTAATTGCGAGGGGGTCAAATACTTATTTCCCTCATTAAAATGCAAATCAATTTATAACATTTATAAAAATCTTGACATTTCTGGATTTTTGTTTTGTTATTCTGTCTCTCACTGTTCAAATAAACCTACCATTAAAATTATAGACTGATCATTTCTTTGTCAGCGGGCAAACTATTTTCCCTTACTGTACATATATATATATATATATATTTTATATTCTTCAAATAGCCACCCATTGCCTTGATGACTGCTTTGCACACTCTTGGCATTCTCTCAACCAGCTTCACTTGGAATGCTTTTCCAACAGTCTTGAAGGAGTTCCCACATATGCTGAGCACTTGTTTGCTGCTTTTCCTTCACTCTGCGGTCCGACTCATCCCAAACCATCTCAATTGGGTTGAGGTCGGGGGATTGTGGAGGCCAGGTCATCTGATGCAGCACTCCATCACTCTCCTTCTTGGTAAAATAGCCCTTACACAGCCTGGAGGTGTGATGGTTCCTGTTGAAAAACAGGAACCATCACAATTATAGTCCCACTAAGCCCAAACCAGTTGGGATGGCGTATCGCTGTAGAATGCTGTGGTAGTGTCAAGGGGTGCTGAAGGTGGGTGTGGTGCATGAATCAAGCGCAGGACGCAGAAGCTCAGTCCAAAAGACTTTAGTGCAATATTCACGTAGAAAATAAGCACAATAAGCCCGAAGGCGAAATAACGGCGCACACAGGCGTCAATCAAACGGCGCACTAACATGTGCGAAAAACCTCTCCAAAACACTGGAGGGAAGTACGTAGCTCCAACACGAAACAGAAGAGCAATCACACACAAAGACAAACACACACAACGAGAACTAAATAGGACACTAACGAGGACTAACAAGACACAGGTGTACAACATCAAGACAAAACCAAACGAACATGAAACATAGATCGGTGGCAGCTAGTACTCCGGGGACGACGACCGCCGAAGCCTGCCCGAACCAGGAGGAGGAGTAGCCTCGGCCGAAACCGTGACAGGTAGTCATGCTGGTTAAGTGTGCCTTGAATTCTAAATAAATCACAGACAGTGTCACCAGCAAAGCACCCCCACACCATAACACCTCTTCCTCCATGCTTTACGGTGGGAAATAGACATGTGGAGATCATCCGTTCACCCATACCGCGTCTCACAATGACACAGCGGTTGGAACCAAAAATCTTCAATTTCGACTCCAGACCAAAGGACACATTTCCACCGGTCTAATGTCCATTGCTCGTGTTTCTTGACCCAAGCAGGTCTCTTCTTATTATTGGTGTCCTTTAGTAGTGGTTTCTTTGCAGCAATTCAAACAAGAAGGCCTGATTCACATAGTCCCCTCTGAACAGTTGATGTTGAGATGTGTCTGTGATTTGGTGTCTGTGACTTGTCTATTAAGCATTTATTTGTTCTGCAATTTCTGAGGCTGGTAACTCAAATGAATTTATCCTCTGCAGCAGAGGTAACTCTGGGTCTTCCATTCCTGTGGCGGTCCTCATGAGAGCCAGTTTCATCATAGCGCTTGATGGTTTTTGCGACTGCACTTGAAGAAACGTTCAAAGTTCTTGAGATTTTCCGGATTGACTGACCTTCATGTCTTAAAGTAATGATGAACTGTCGTTTCTCTTTGCTTATTTGAGCTGTTCTTGCCATAATATGGACTTGGTCTTTTACCAAATAGGTCTATCTTCTGTATACCACCCCTACCTTGTCACAACACAACTGATTGGCTCAAACGCATTATGAAGGAAAGAAATTCAACAAATTAACTTCTAACAAGGCACACCTGTTAATTGAAATGCATTCCAGGTGACTACCTCATGAAGCTGGTTGAGAGAATGCCAAGAGTGTGCAAAGCTGTCATCAAGGCAAAGGGTGGCTACTTTGAAGAATCTCAAATATAAAATATATTTGATTTGTTTAACACTTTTTTGATTACTACATGATTCCATATGTGTCATTTCATAGTTTTGATGTCTTCACTATTATTCTACAATGTAGAAAATAGTAAAATAAAGAAAAACCCTTGAATGAGTAGGTGTGTCCAAACTTTTGACTGGTACTGTATATGATAGAGAGAAGTTTGTCTGTGCAAACAGCAGGTAAGATATCTTGTGGAGTTCCTCAAGGATCTATTATTGGACTTTGGTTGTTTCTGACCTACATCCATGACCCTTGCTGCTGTATATACCACCTTATTTCCATTACTCTTTGCTGATGAAACAGATGTTCTTAACTCATAAGAACTCTCTCGCTCTCCTCTCTCTGTAGGACTTTAAAATGGAGACGTTTGCAGGGCCAGTGTTTGCCAGCTTGCGTCGCTCCCTGGGGATGACAGAAAAGGAGTATCAGCACTCTCTCTCCTCCGACGGCTCCTACCTGCAGTTCATCAGCAACTCCAAAAGCAAGGCTGACTTCTTTCTCACGTGCGTAAGCATGTTCTACTCCTCTCCTCATCTCCCCCTTTTCTGCTAGTATATATCTCTCTCACCACACAGAGACATACAGTATAGTGCAAATATAGAAAAGTTCCTTTGTTACTCCTGTCTTGCCAAAGTTTATACTCAAACACAATACACACAGAACACACTCTCACACACTAGACACTAAGGTCACACACACACACACACACACACACACGCACACACACACACACACACACACACACACACACACACGCACACAAATATATTATAACTCACTACCTGTGCTGATCTCTGCATCTGTCTTTCTCTTCCAGGAACGATAAGCGTTTTTTCCTGAAGACCCAGAACAAGAGAGAGGTGAAATTCCTCTTGTCCAACCTGAGAATCTACTTGGAGCACCTAGAGAAATATCCCCATTCACTGCTGGTCAAGTTCTTAGGTAAGACTAACAGGATGGACTCGCATCTCATGGAAAATCTTTGTATCTGTTTGTAGTCCTCTAGCTTTGCATTTGACTGACTGAAGTTTCCATTTGTTTTCAAGGTGTCCACAGGATAAACATTTCCCATAGGAGGAAGGTACTGACTGATTATAGATTGTTATTCACAGGCACATTGTGTATAATGATAATTATTTATTATCTACAACTTAATTTGTTCATGCCTTGTCTTACCCTTTTCACAGAAGTACTTTATTGTAATGCAGAGTGTTTTTTACCCCGACGATCGAATCAATGCCAGGTAAGCCTGTTTCAGAGTTAAACCAAAAAGTCTGGAGTAGGGACTGTATTACAGGCTCTGGAAGCAACACTGTTATTCTGACTTTGTTGTCTGTTGTCTTTTGTTGCAGGTATGACATCAAGGGTTGTGAGGTGAGCCGGTGGACAGACCCCGCCCCAGAGGGTAGCCAGGTTATCGTTGTCCTCAAGGACTTGAACTTCAAGGGCCAGTACATCACTCTGGGTAAGTGGAACGAATCCTGTCATCGTATGTTACAGCAAGCGATTTGTCATTTACGTGTACCAGATGACTGATTACAATGGCAAGAAAGATCTTACAGGTATATTGTATTGTAGTAATTGAGATAGGCCAGTCTGGTAATGCTTATAGTAGAGTAACATCCATTGTAATAACCCATGTTATTACACTGTAACAGGGTAGTAAGTGGTACATGCAGTTATTCCATATATATGCTTGTGCTGATAGACCAGCAGCGGCCGTGGCTGCTCCGGCAGGTGGAGATTGACACGTCGTTCCTGCAGAGACTCAACGTACTGGACTACAGCCTCCTGGTGGCCCATCAGCCCCTGCACCAGGATGAACGCCACCAGGGCCTCTCCTTCGCCACCCTTATCATGCGCACAAAAAAGTGGGTGGAAATTGTATTTTTCTTTCATTCTTTCTTGACGTTTAAAGATGCAGTCTGGGATCTTAAGCACGTACAAATTCGTAACATATAATACAAAATGGATGACGTAGTACACATTTGTGCACAATATTTGGGGACCCGTTTTGACTCGTGGGCACTACTTTCAAAACTACTGGCTGTAGGGCGGCAGGTAGCTTAGTGGGTAAGAGCGTTGTGCCAGTAACCGAAAGGTCGCTGGTTCTAATCCCCGAGCCGACTAGGTGAAAAATCTGTCAATGTGCCCTTAAGCAAGGCACTTAACCCTAATTGCTCTTGTAAGTCGCTCTGGATAAGAGCGTCTGCTAAATGACTAAAAATGTAAAATGTAATTATACAAAACCTTTAAAGAATCACTTTAAGTGAATATTTCAGGCCTAAAAAGTTGTGTAAAGTCAAGATCTATCTTGTTCCCAGGTCCTGGTCTTTCTTCAGGACAAAACCAATGACTTCCAGGCATGTAGTTACCATAAATACGGTATACTGCTTGGCTATTTGATAACATGCATAACCACCAAAAGAGCAACTGTCCAGTATTTGTCTATTCTAAATCATGCTGCCTCACTCTGGTCACTGTGAGGTTGACCATGCTGCCTCACTCTGGTCACTGTGAGGTTGACCATGCTGCCTCACTCTGGTCCATAGCTTGGCTCTTACCCTCCCCTCTTTAACCTCTCTGTCACGACTGTCTGTGAGATGCGGTAAACGAAGTCAGGCGCAGGACACAGAACTCTCGGATACGTACTTTTAATACGAAAAGGATCCAAAAGGACACAGAAAATAACTCCACGCAGGGAGGAAATAACCCGCTCACAAAATAGACAACCGTGAAGGGGAAAACAATCACACACAAAGTACAGATGAGAGACAGGGGTAATTATAAGGGAAACAATTAACATAATGACGAACAGGTGTAACCAATACAGACAAAACTAAACAAACACCGATAACATCGAACGGCAGTAGCTAGTACTCCGGGGACGACGAACGCCGAAGCCTGCCCGAGCAAGGAGGAGGAGCAGCCTCGGCAGAATCCGTGACACTCTCAGGTGGCCATGATGACTCTAATAACTCTGTTTACCCTCCATAGAGATGGATAGAGGGCGTACTTGCCACAAAGCCTGTTTTAACATGGGCAGTGTCATTGAGTAGAAGAAGAAACGGACTATTTTAAATGGAGATAGCATGGGCAGTGCCATTGAGGGCTATCACAGAAGTGTTCATGGCAAAGAGAAGGTGTGCCCTCTTTCTAGCTCTATGTTACGCTCTCCTCTTTAACCTTTTCAGGTGGCCATGTTGGTTTCTAATAATTCTGGTTACCCCATCTCTGCTTTAACTTCTCAGGTCAGTGATCACTGGCTCAAGCCCCACCCATGCGGGCATGCCCACTGTTCCAGGGGTGGTCCCAGAGGAAGACTCCACCCTGTTGGTGTCAGAGATGGACGGCGGAACAGGAAGTTGCAGCTTTGCCGAGTCACGGGGAGGAAGTGACCCGGGCAGTGCCCTTTCTGGGAGAACCTGTAATGAGCAGCCAGCCGGGTCGGTCACAGATTCGATGGAGCTGAGGGACTTCCAGGCCCAGAACCGCCGGCTGCTGCCCAACTTCAAGAACCCGCTACACGTCATTGATGGACCGGAGCATCGCTACTTTGTGGGCATCATCGACATCTTCACTGTCTACAGCTTCAAGAAGAGGCTGGAGCATTGGTGGAAGAGACTGCGGCACCCAGGGCAGGCCTTCTCTACCGTCAGCCCCCCCTCTTACTGCCTTAGGCTCTGCCAGTGGGTACAGGACCACACCAAGTAGACTCAGAAAAAGGGGCTGTCTGCCCAGGCAGGCTGTCTGCCCAGGAACACGTTTGCACGCACACACGCAACTTGGACACTGACCAGAGACATGAAGCTATGCTTTTAAAGCGCTGTAATTTCAGATTGATCAAGGAGCAGTTATTTTCATGTTTCCACATCTCCAGACCAAAGCTAAAACAAACATAAACCATTATATAAAAATATTATATTCACCATCGCGAATACATGGGTTTCCTTCTTTTCATATTCTTTGTTAAGTAAACAAAGAAAAAGGTGCGAAATTTAAAATCAAGTGCTATGAATTGATTAGCTGATTTTCCAAAGTATAATAGTTTTTTAATTGTTGAAGTTCAATTAGCGATTGAATGCTGAAAACCAAAATGATTTTACAAATTTGCCACCTTATATGGATGTATTTTTTAAAGAATTTAACTTTGAAGTGTTTATACCTGTACAATTTTGTTGTATTTTTGAAAGCTGTGTTTTCACTGTTCAACTGACCAAGTTAATATACTCTCCCGATACCACTGTGCATGACTGTGCAGTATATATATATATATATATATATATTATTCTTTGTACGGTCATGGCAAGGTCAGTATAAAGGGTTAACGTTTAAAAGTGATGACAAATGGTAGTCATAAAGGTTGTGTCCCCCTGCTCAGACATTGCTGACGCATGTCAGATCTTACAATGCCTATATACAGTGAGGGAAAAAAAGTATTTGATCCCCTGCTGATTTTGTACGTTTGCCCACTGACAAAGAAATGATAATTCTATAATTTTAATGGTAGGTTTATTTGAACAGTGAGAGACAGAATAACAACAAAAAAATCCAGAAAAACGCATGTCAGAAATGTTATAAATTGATTTGCATTTTAATGAGAGAAATAAGTATTTGACCCCTCTGCAAAACATTACTTAGTACTTGGTGGCAAAACCCTTGTTGGCAATCACAGAGGTCAGACGTTTCTTGTAGTCGGCCACCAGGTTTGCACACATCTCAGGAGGGATTTTGTCCCACTCCTCTTTGCAGATCTTCTCCAAGTCATGAAGGTTTCGAGATTGACGTTTGGCAACTCGAACCTTCAGCTCCCTCCACAGATGTTCTATGGGATTAAGGTCTGGAGATTGGCTAGGCCACTCCAGGACCTTAATGTGCTTGTTCTTGAGCCACACCTTTGTTGCCTTGGCCTTGTGTTTTGGGTCATTGTCATTCTGGAATACCCATCCACGAACCATTTTCAATGCCCTGACTGAGGGAAGGAGGTTCTCACCCAAGATTTGACGGTACATGGCCCCATCCATCGTCCCTTTGATGTGGTGAAGTTATCCTGTCCCCTTAGCAGAAAAACACCCCCAAAGCATAATGTTTCCACCTCCATGTTTGACGGTGGGGATGGTGTTCTTGGGGTCATAGGCAGCATTCCTCCTCCTCCAAACACGGCGAGTTGAGTTGATGCCAAAGAGCTCGATTTTGGTCTCATCTGACCACAACACTTTCACCCAGTTCTCCTCTGAATCATTCAGATGTTCATTGGCAAACTTCAGACGGGCCTGTATATGTGCTTTCTTGAGCAGGGGGACCTTGCGGGCGCTGCAGGATTTCAGTCCTTCACGGCGTAGTGTGTTACCAATTGTTTTCTTGGTGACTATGGTCCCAGCTGCTTTGAGATCATTGACAAGATCCTCCCGTGTAGTTCTGGGCTGATTCCTCACTGTTCTCATGATCATTGCAACTCCACGAGGTGAGATCTTGCATGGAGCCCCAGGCCGAGGGAGATTGACAGTTCTTTTGTGTTTCTTCCATTTGCGAATAATCGCACCAACTGTTATCACCTTCTCACCAAGCTGCTTGGCGATGGTCTTGTAGCCCATTCCAGCCTTGTGTAAGTCTACAATCTTGTCCCTGACATCCTTGGAGAGCTCTTTGGTCTTGGCCATGGTGGAGAGTTTGGAATCTGATTGATTGATTGCTTCTGTGGACAGGTGTCTTTTATACAGGTAACAAACTGAGATTAGGAGCACTCCCTTTAAGAGTGTGCTCCTAATCTCAGCTCGTTACCTGTATAAAAGACACCTGTGAGCCAGAAATCTTTCTGATTGAGAGGGGGTCAAAGACTTATTTCCCTCATTAAAATGCAAATCAATTTATAACATTTCTGACATGCGTTTTTCTGGATTTTGTTGTTGTTATTCTGTCTCTCACTGTTCAAATAAACCTACCATTAAAATTATAGACTGATCATTTCTTTGTCAGTGGGCAAACGTACAAAATCAGCAGGGGATCAAATACTTTTTTCCCTCACTGTAAGTATTTTACGTATCAGCTAACCACATCATTTGTTATAGCAATCTGAACAGGGGAACACAACCTTTATAAGACTGCCTGGTTCTTCTGATGACCAACACATTCTTTAAAGGGAAAGTTCACTTCTGTAAATGAAATGGTATGTTATTTTTGACTTACCTAGGGAAGAACCTGGACACCCTAGGTAACACCATAGGGAAGTTGAAAATACACCAAAAATGGTGAGCTATCCCTTTAATGCCATGTTGCCTCAGAAGAGATATTACTCACACTGTCCAGTTTTTATGGTGAAATGTAGGCTAAAGACTTGGGCCCTCTAGTTCTTACTACTCTTTTTGCTGTTAGAAAATATAACCCAAATGTGCTTTACACCTCTTGAGGTGCTCCATTCTGTACCTCACCTGCGAAGTCAGGGAAATATGAGGATTTTCTTTAGGGGGTTTTCACAACACTGTCTGGGTCTGAATTTTGTTTGAATGTAAGGCACTGTATTTACAGGGTTTAATTTGTCTGGAAACATAAATGTAATCTGTCCATGAATAGAATTGACTTTACATCCTATTTGAATGTAAGATGTAGCATAAAAAACATCCACACAAAGTTGGGGAAATAAAAGACCCTGATTTGAGGACTAAGTTATGTGGTCATTTTCACAACATATTCACTAATGTAAGCTACTTTGTAACGGTGTGGATGGCTAACTCCAAACCACCCTTTACACTCTCTCCTGGCTCGACTTGTTGACCCCTGGTAAAGTCATGGTTGTGCCTTCTGTCTACAGTAGGTGTGTGCTGAAACCTTTGCTCAATGCATAAAGAACTTTAAGAGGTAAGGTGTGTGTGAAATTTGCTTATTTGCTTACTGGCTTGTATCTAACTCTCTGAAGGTACCCTCTCTCTAAAGTTAGTTCAGTGGTTCCCAACCATTTTCGGTTACTGTACCACCAACTGAATTTTGCTCCGCCCGGAGTACCACTGAAGTACCCCCTCATGTGCATTCTACCAGTAGGCCTTTGGCCTGATGAGTCTACTCAAGTACCCCCTGTGGATAGGCCAATTACCCCCAAGGGTCCTAGTACCCCTGGTTGGGAACCACTGCTCTCTCTAGTCATGCAGTCGTTGCAACACCAGATAACTTTGAGAAGGAACACAACTCTGGGTCAAGCGACTGTCAAGCCAACACCGTAACCGTTACGCCAAGAGGTCCGAACCTCTTAACGAGGTCGCTACAATAGGGTTTATGGCATTTTAAAATCATTATTAACCATTTCATTATAGGCCGATTGATCTCATACCGGTGAGGTGTAGACCTACTCAAAAATGGTTTGAAGGTGCAATCTGTAACTGCATATTGTAGTGACGCTACTGTAGGCTATTATGGTCGGGTCTATGGATGATGGACAGGTGGATGGAATCGTGTCTTCTTGCAGAGGCATGGGAGGTGGAAATTGGTGGTGGTCTCCTTTAAGGCTAAGCAGGTAGAGGATTTCGGACAACATAGCCAATGGATTTAGTGGCTGGTCCTGGGTTTCAACCTAGACTCAGAAGTAGACGTAACATAGTAAATGTAAATCCGGACGCTACAATTAGCATGATATGTCACGTTTCGTATAGGAATGTATTAATTTGTGGATGTCCATCATCCATTTTGTACAATATGTTAGGAATTGCAATTTGTACAATATCTGCAAAATGTGTGATATGTTACAAACAGTGCTTGACTTGGGATGAAAGAAGTGCAGGGGCTGTAGTTTCCAAGTCTGTCTATAAGAGTATTTTCACCAAAATTCACAAATGACATTATGCTATAGAGACCTGATTATTCACTGTTAAGGGTTCATACACATTTTCCATGACTTCTCCATGACTTCTAACCACATTTTCGTGGCTAGTATTATAGCCTACATGAAAAAGTAAGCATCATTGACACTGGAAAACCTACCACCTAATGCCGTTGTGACCTTGATCAAGGCACTTAACCCCCCACAAAGTAGAACTGCACTGTTAGTCACATGTTGTCAACATGTGGTCAACCCTCCATCTGGAGGGCTCCTGGGTGTGCAGGCATGGCTTTTGATCCAGCCCTGAAACACCCAAGTCTGCTTATCAAGGTCCTGTTGAGCACGGATGTTTAAGCTATAACTTGGATAACGTGTGAAATGCTTGATAATGTATGTGAATCAACAGAGAGGTATATTTTCTGGGTGATTTAAATATTGACTGGCTTTCATCAAGCTGCCCACTCAAGAAAAAGCTTCAAACTGTAACTAGTGCCTGCAACCTGGTTCAGGTTATCAGTCAACCTACCAGGGTAGTTACAAACAGCACAGTAATTAAACATCAACATGTATTGATCACATCTTTACTAATGCTGCAGAAATTTGCTTTAAAGCAGTATCCAAATCCCACGGGGGGCCAGTATGAAAAATAAAAAAATAATGTATGCACTCACTAACTGTAAGTCGCTCTGGATAAGAGCGTCTGCTAAATGAATAAAATGTAAATGTAAAATGACAACACAGTAGCCATATCTAGGGAAACCAAAGTTCCAAAGGCTGGGCCTAATATAGTGTATAAGAGGTCGTCATACAATACTTTTTGTAGTGATTCCTATGTTGTTGATGTTAATAATATTTGTTGGTCTGTGGTGTGTAATGAGGAACAACCAGACACTGCACTTGACACATTTATGAAATTGCTTATTCCAGTTACTAATAAGCATGCACCCATTAAGAAAATGACTGTAAAAACTGTTAAATCCCTGTGGATTGATGAGGAATTAAAAAATGGTATGGTTGAGGGGGATGAGGCAAAAGGAATGTGTCACGTTCGTTGAATGACGGGTCAGACCAAGGCGCAGCGTGTACATGTTTATTAACTTATAAACACAACGACAAAACAACAACCGAAACGAAACGTGAAGTCCAAGGTAGAACACACAACATACCTTACCAAGAACAAGATCCCACAACTA